GAAAGTCATACAACTCAGATTTCACAGTACTGATAGACATCTAAAACAAACGAAACATCGTCTCACTATCAAAGCATACAACTGACCAGTCAGAGCAAGCTCTCGACAGAAATAGGAGACACTTCTTGCGTCATCTCGACCTTGAAACACCTTATCACCCGGGATCGGAAGCTGACCAATGGCAGTCATGGTCTTGACGTCAGAACGATGATCCTGAGAATCGTTATAAAGTCGATCAAAGGAGACGGTGCTAGAAGGGCCAGTCTTGGAACCCACCGGTAACTCGGCATGGTAGACTGGTCCTTGAGTCGGTGGCTGCGCTGACCGACCCATCATCCTAACAGGTCCAGCTTCAGACGAAGCCACTGCCCAGCACCTTCGCAGCGCCAAACGAGTGGACAAATCGTCAACTGAGTCTATAAGAGTATTAGCTTCAGTAGAGGTCATAAACACCAACAAGTCACGCTCAACACCTAGCTTCTCAGAAAGCAAACGACGAGCCATGCTTGCATCTAAGACAACCTCAGGCGATCTAGACCTCTCACGGTGAGAAGTCTCATCCTGCCCAGTAGTAGCCAAGCCAGGCTGAGAACCAGAAGCCTCGTCCGTAGTGTGCACGTTAACATCCTGCTGAAGGGTACCAATGTTGTTGTGATTCGCCGTGGACTGGGAACCCAGCTGCTCAGACATACTAAAGGGAAAACTTGATTATAGCAATACTTATGCAACAAGGCAGTAATTCGTTGACTAGCCTTAGCGTTGACACAAAGCTTAAAATAAAGAACAAAATGGGACAGGCGTCACAACTTCTACATTCCTTTGGAACAGCACTATTCCCTTCAGTCTGTGTCTATTATTAACTTGTATTATTATGGTCCCCTCACGAGGGTCGGCATTCGCCGTTCCCCTCCTCTACTTTGCCATTTCAGTGCTGTCGCCTCCCTCCTCAACGTGGCCATCTTGGACTATCATCACCGACCACTGTATCCTCTATAGGCTCCAACGCCGTACCAGCATGCAGATGGTCGTAGTGTACTGATGGGCACCAAACATGGTCGCGGTATAATGACATGGGAGCACGCTGAACTCACTCAAGTGCAATGAGCTGAAAGATTGGTAGTAGTGTGACAGGAATTACTGCTGTTCCTATGATCACATGTGGTTGCCTTACCACGCCTTTTTGAAATCACATCAAAATCACTGAAGAGGATCTGAACGAATCTCAATCTTACTGGATCTCATTCCAATACCTGTAATTTATAGGCGAATAGCTGTAAACGACGAATGCACTTCTCGAGCACGAAAACTCTCATGTCCTTCACTTACAAGGCTCTCTATCCCTCGCTACTGTCGCTACTAGTAGGTTCATAACAGTTTCGCAT